CCTGTCAACTTATGGCAACCCCATGAATTTCATAGGGTTTTCTTATGCATGGAAGACTCAGAGGTGGTTTTGCCAGTTCCTTCCTCTGAACTATAGCCTACAGCACCTGGTATTCCTTGGCAGTCTCCCATCCAAGTACTAATGAGAGCTGAACCTGTTTAACTTCCAAGATCATACTGAATCTGGTGCCTTTAGGGTATTTAGGTCTACTCTGCTTAATACAAGTATCAAATTGCTACACATGCACTTGTTCTATTCTTGCTTAGGCTCTCTGCCAATATCTTCTCTGAATTCTATATCTTTCCATTGGAAGCTATTTAGAGGCAATTGTGGCTTCTAAGTCAAATGCAAATGTAGGGACTGCAATTGTTGTAGAAAATATGTTTTATAATCTTTGGGTACATTTAGTATTGTTTTTGATTTTTAAAAAATGGTCTAACTTAAGAGGGATGAAGGTCATGATTCTGTCTGAAGGTGCTGGAGCATAAAGTTCCACCAAGTCTAGGGTCTGGAAATGTTAGATAGAGGTAGCTATCCTGGTAGCAGCATGAGAATCATGTGCAATTTCTTTTTAGTAGGAATCTCCTTGGAGTTTATTGCTAATGTAACTGGGATGTGTGCCTCTATGTTTACTACTGGCTACACTTTCTCTGACATTGTGTAAGGATGTATCCAGTAACTCCTTGTGAAACAATTTTACTCAGCAATACAGTGGCTCCTGGGTTGCATCCAGGCACAGGTCTGGGCCCCCAACCCAAATTGTCATGGATTTTTCATGCTGCCCCCAGGATAGCTACCTTTATCTAATATTTCCTGTATTGGTGGAACTTTATGCTTGGACACCTTCAGACAGGATCTTGAATTTCATTTCATTAATTTATTCATAACAAACAATGTCATCAAATAATTAAATTGTGGCAAGAACTGAGTTTCTCCCTTCGTTAGGGCATACTTGCCTGGGTCAAATGAAGCAGTTTCTCCCACCATCAAAGCAATCTGTCTTCATGGCATAGGGCCAAATCATCGATTCAAGTGTCAATTCTCTTCATGATGTAAGGCCACTTCAGCACCAAATCTGGTCTGTTGTTGTTGTTGTTGTTTCACTGTTTTCCAACTAGAATCTAGAATTAAAAACTAAACCACCCACCCCCTTATGCCAATTTAAAGTAATTCACATTTTGCTCTAGATGTTGCAGGAAAAAACTTGGAACATTCTGTAGTGATGCCAGGCAATTGCCTAAATTTATGCTTATGCTGTGTCATCCAGTGCCACCGCTGCTGGCATGGATCATTCCCTTTGAGGTCACAATGAGGCCCCAGCAATGTGATCAATGCTGGACACTTTGTTGTGAGTCATACCAGCAGCAGTGGCACTAGGGAACACAGTAGGAACACAAGTATAGACAGATATCCAACATTGCTATAGAGTGCGAAGGTAACAGGGGGAAATCCAGAGCAGTTCTGGGAAGAATACTTCAGAAAGAGTCTGGAGTATTCTGGCCAGTGTAGACAAGCCCTTGGCTCCACATTAGTGGAATAAAAGACAGAAAGAGATTGTCTGGGTTAGGTCCATGTTTAATCATGCTTGCTGTAGACCTTTCAAAATCAAGAGGACAATTTAGTCAATAGCTAAACCATTGATTTCAGCTGGTCTGCTTTACATATGGCTAAATATGGATCCAATCTTTTGTGTTCATTCTTCCCCCACTCAACTGGGACTCTGCATTCCATCTGTCCATCCCTCTAAAATAGTGGTCAGACAATTTAGCATGGCCAGAATTTTTGTCATAGCAAGACAGAAACTGGAAGATTTTTTAAAAAAACACACAATATTGTGGAATGAGCACCATATGCCAAAACTTTTCAAAGAATTGACACATTTCAAAGAAGTCAATACCACCACTAATAACCCTTGGAGAAAAAAGCAGGAGGAGGAGAGAAAGAATTAAACAATAAATATAGGTCTTCAAAGATGTTACACCACTGAAAAAAAACCCTCTCTTTTCTTGTAATGAACTCTTGGTCTGGATTTCACAACCCATCATCAAGTTGCCCACAGCTAGTAATCATCATGCCCAGAAAATTTCTCACATTCCTGTAAAACAACAACAACAGTGTTTTCTTTCTTGGCAAAAATGATAAAACCAGAAAAGGAGGAGGAATACAGCCTACAGTTTCCAGAGGGGTGGCTATGCTGGTGTGATCCAACAAAGCAAGCCAACAGTCCAGTGGCACCTTAGAGATTTATTATGGCATAAGCTTTTGTGCACAGGAGCCCACAACTAAAACAGCTGTCTCTGGCCCAGGAATGCTCCTACCATTTTACATTTGTTAGTTTTTATGATGCCATGGGCTCTTGGTTATTTTTATTGCCTACTGAGGGAGTCTATTCTCTTATACTGAAAATATAGAGGTTTCACTGATATGAGAAAGAATATTCAGTTTCTGGATAGCCTAAACAAACCTCATGAGTAATCATAAGGATATAAGTATTATAAGGCCAGCAGTTTTCTGGTGTATCAAGATCTGGATACTAATGGCTCCATTCCTCCAAAGGCTAAGTCTGGTCAGTTGGCCACAAAATATTCTGTCAGGTATCACTTTACAGCTCTGCACAAAATGAAAATATGAATTGGGGCAGAGTGTGCTGACCCAGCTCCACTCCATCATACAAATTAACTGTTCAATTATTTAATTTTTACACATGAGATTAAAAAATGTAATATTTTTCTGCCATTGGACAAGACTGCAAGAGGTTTTATGCATTTTTTTCCAATGGTTTCATCACAATTCAAGAAATTGTTTGCAACATGCTACAACTTTTGGCACAAAAACATATGTTTTGCACAAAATATAGTATTATACACAAAAACATTTCATTTTGCATAAAATATCTTTATGTGTACATGCATGCCAGTAATAAATACAGTTCCTTTTAAAAGCACCAGATCCTGTCTGGTCTTGAAAGCTAAGCAGGATAAACTCTGGTTATTACTTGGCGGGAGACCAACAGCAACTGCCAGTTAAAGCAGTATCAAACTGCATTAATTCTGCAGTGTAGATGCAGCCTGGAATTGATTACAAGACACATATAACTCTACTGCTGAAACAGCTTAATTGGCTACTGGTTCATTTCCAGGTACAATTCAAAGTGCTGGCTATGATCTATAATGAGGAAGCCTGGTGAGAAGCCAGCATGGTATAGTGGTTTGAGTGCTGGACTATGACTCTGGAGAACAGTGTTCGATTCCCTTTTCAGCCATGAAACCATGGGGTGACCTGAGGCAGGTGAGCCTCAGGGGAAGTCAATGGCAAAATCTCCTCTGAACAAATCTTGCCATGAAAACTCCATGATAAGTTTACTTTAGGATCACCATAAGTCAGAAATTACTTGAAGACACATAACAAGAAACAACAACTGCACTACAGGGGGATTAATTCAGTCAAAGCAGTCATGGCTGCCCTGGGTTTGCAAGACCTGAGCATGGTAGTTGATGAACAGGGCTCTTGTCAATTTGAAGGCGAACAATAACAAATGAAGCTGCAAACATAGGACTCCTTTTGGCCAATGTCCTGCGTTTCTACCAGTAGTAGAAATCAGAGATCCATCTTGGGATGCTGTTTGCTCACAATCATCCAAAGCCTGCCTGACTAATGTAGAAGACCATGGTGAATTTCAGACTGGGAAATAACCAGCAACATGTTTTCTTGACATGGGCTATCCATCTTTCCTTTCCCCTTTTTTCTTTTCACACAATCAAGCCTGACAAGCCTCCTCAACATTTGTTTGGCATCACCTTCTGCATAATAACAGAATAATTTAATTGGGCCTCCCAACCATCTATATGTTCTTGCAGAAGGCAACCCATCTGTTTCACATTCTGTGATTGTCTTTGAACATAACTAAATAAATCCACAGTGAGGGAGTGGGGGAACTTTACATTAAAACAATGTGGGGAAAATGTGACATAAACAGATCTCCCAATTCAGTCTTCAGCTTGATATTTTGGGAAAGACTTTGGCATATATTATCTTCTGAGGAAAATATTAAAAGTTTATTTTGCTTATCACTCTTGAGCCAGTCTGGTGTAGTGGTTTGAATGTTGGACTAGGACTCTGGGAGATTATGGTTCAAATCCCCAAAACAGGCTCTCTCGGAGGTCTCTCAAACACAGGGTCACCAGAGCCAACTTGATGGCACATAATAACGGCACCAAGTCTGCCGCAAGATGACAAGGGTATAAAAACCTGTCAGAATCATTTTCATTTCATTTCTCAGAATCAATTCAGCATTCATGCCCCATCCCAATTTTGGTCAGCATGTTTTCCCCCCATCCCTATTATTATGTGTACATATTTTTTTTAAATGCATACCTTTTTCTGTGGATTTTTCTGATATGGGATTTCTGCATATATATTTTTTCTGTTCAGCAAAGTTGTTTTCATTTTTCAAGTACATGTTTTAACCCATTTTTGTGCATTTCTCCCCAAAATGCATCTTAAGTTTCATAAGTATATTATTATTATTATTATTATTATTATTATTATTATTTGCTTTTCCCCAAAAAAATTCCTAGCACTGATGCTCATAGCCTTCACTCTCTAACTCATATTCTAAACTAATCTCTGTCTCTAACCCTAACTCTTCTGACCTCTTTAACTCCTACTCCCAACTGATTCTTAACAGTGACAGACTCAACTCTCACCCAGACTTTTTAACCATCTCTTCAAACACTTAGCCAATTGGCTATCACTCCCAGCATTCCACACTCGCATCCTTCCCAACAGACGCTTTCCTTATAACACCTATATACATTACCCTCATAACCATACTTTACCATAGGAAGCAACAACACTGTAGAAATAATGCAACTTGACACTGCTTTAAGTGCTGTAGCTCCATCCTATGGGATCCTGGGATTTGTAGTATTATAAAGACTTCTCTTCCAAAAAGTGTTGGTGCCTCACAAAAGTACAAATCTGGGATTTTTTAATTGGTGTCAAACTGTGTTATTTCTACAGTGCAGATGCATCCACAATTGATCTGATAAATGCAACAAACGTCCACCACCACCCCTCAAAAAAGGCCCATAAGATCACAGTTATACCTGGGACCTAAAACCTATAGCAGATGTGCTGCCACTGATTTTTTAAAAAAACTTGACTCACACATTTTGCCATCAAAAATATTAGCACTGACCAGAAAGCCACAATGACTAAGAACCCAGTCCAGCAGAACAAGTACATTGGAAGCTGGCACTGTTAAAATTTTTGGAAAGCAAAGCTGCCTTTGGAAGAGAGAGCTGGAAAGCATTTTAGAATTTGGAGGTCTTTTGTTTGAGATAAAACCAAAGTGAAACAATAATTGTGCCTCCTCAGATGGTTTTAATTTGATCTCATAATCCCCCACAGACATTAAAAAAGAGAACATTTTGTGATCAATCAAAATCAAAATGATATGCTTTAGCAAACAAAAAGAAAGAGTATGGAATCTGGTGTGCTGGAGGAAGAAAAAGCAAATCCAAAAGCAGAGCTTGGAAAAGTTACTTTGGGGATTGACGATTTCCACAACCACCAATTTGGGAGCCTTTTTGCAGCCAACAAAGTAACTTTTCCAAATTCTGTAAGAGTGTCCCTCTTTTTTCCCAGGACAAATGGAATAGTGTTGTTGTTGTTGTTTTTAATGTGCAGACTCATTCACTGAAATATTACTTACTTTCTTGATTTCAGTGCATAAATTGAATAGACTAAAACAGAGGTTAAAAACTTTGGTGTGTCCAGGGAGCAAATTTATACATATTCACAGAGCAATGGATCACACCAATCCCTGCTGTGCAGTAGTGAAATTCAATGACAGAAATTCTAATAGATAAATAAATGAATGAATGAATGAATAAAACAAAGCACATGGGGAGTGCACACCTTAATTTAAGGAACACTCTGTGCTGCCCTGATCATATCCTTGGGATGAATAAATTTTGAAGACTGTTTACAGTTTGGGTCTGATTGTGTGCAAAATTCCCACATGGTCATTTTTACATAGTAAACAATATTTTCTACAAAGGAAAAAAAAACAGAAACAGCAGTTTCCACAAAGGAAGTCCTGTTCATAAGTTTTTGTGTGTGCAGAAAATGCTATTTCTTGTGCAGAAAGTGTTGTTTTATGAGCAAATCAACCATGTTTACATTTTGTGTACAATAAATTCTGTGAAAACTCTCATTAGTCCAGGATTCTTGTGATCAAGATTTCTCAAGACTTGAGAAACATGTATTTCAACAATTTTTCAATTATATATTGGGTGGGGGGAACTAGGAAGACTCATCCCAGGCCCTCAGTAAAAATATATACGCAACTGGTAGGGAGAGAGGGAGGAGGACTTAAAACTCATCATTGTTTAAATTATGGTTTCTTCTCATCTAAACTGAGATTATGTTTTTGTAAAATGTTCTGTGTTGCACCCTTGTTGCAGCTAAATCTAAATCTAAATAACTATCTTGCTGCTATCTGTGCAAGGCTTTCCAATTCACATGAAGGTGTTTACCTTCTCTTGACTCACTTGTATCTTGTCATGTTTCTAGTCAACCGTGTGCTTTGGCTGTTTGGCACGGATTAGGATTGTAAACCACCACATTCCAAACAATGCACCAGACCTTCAGCTGTGCACACAGTGAGCTTACTTCATTCTGCCAAGACTAGGAACCTGTTGTTTGAGCATAGCAGTTCTGTGGGATGTGGAGTAATTCTATGCATACTAACCCCTTGTGGTTGTTTTATCAGCCAATGTTGGCCTCACTTCCACTCAACCAGAATGACTGCATAAGGCACCAGTTTCTCCAATCTGCATTTAACCTGAAAAGAATGTGGAAGCATTGTGCAAAATAAAAACAAGAACAATTCTGGGAGTTATGACTGAAAATGTAACCCACATTTTTTTAAAAAAAGATACATGACGTTGGAAGAAGTCTCAATTATTCCAGTAGAATAAAAGCACAACTAGTGCTTTGAAAAATGAATGAGAGAGGAGGACATTCTGCAGCTTCTTTTGGACATCTTATTCAGAGCTTGCATCATAACTTTTAAGAAGAATGTGAATGTAATGACACACAGAAGCCTTCCAAAAAGAGAGAGAGGGAGTCTTTTTAGTTGTGGCCTTCTATCTGTGGAATGCCCTCTTCAGAGAGGCTCACCTGGTACCTCTGTTAATTTATATTTTCACTATATTCTGTATATTTCAGGTATTTTAGGAACCAGTTTTAGTGGTATAAATACTCAAAATAAATAATAGTGTTTACAAATCATAGCACTTTCCCATTGGTGGTTTTCCTTTGATTTTATATTTTATAATATTTCTGTTTATTGTTGCTTCTATCTTGCTTTAATTCTGTGATGTCTCTACTTTCCATTTATGGTTTGTATTTTATATTACTCAGTGTTTTGTATACCAGCCTGTGAAATGTTTTTGAGCAGTTTATGAGTACAAGGAAAGAAGGAAAGAAAGACAAAGTGAACAACTGGCCAGTGATCCCAGAGCATCATCCTACTATTGCTCAGTTATGGCTGCCATCATCATGTTGGTATATTTATTCTTCTTAAAAACACAGTTGTCCCTCCATATCCACAGAGTCTGCATCCAGAGATTCAACCATCCACAGCTTGGAAATACAGTCATCCCTCCATTTTTGCAGGGCATCCATTCCGGATTCTTCCCCCCCCCCCAAAAAAATGGAAATTCGCAAATATCCAAGCCCTATTGGGTTGAATGGCCACATGCTCCCACATGCGCACCATTTTAACCCTCCCCACTTGCTGGTCCATGAAGGATCAAGTCTGCGGATTCAAAGTCTGCAAAAATGGAGGGCCTGTACTTCATTTCCCCTCTCCCATAAAAAGTCAAACCTTGATTTTGCCATTTTATATAAGAGACACCATTTTACTATGCCATTGTATACAATAGGTCCTGAGCATCCACAGATTTTGGTATTCACGAGGGGTTAGGGTCATGAGGGGTCCTGGAACCAAATGCCAGCAGATACAAAGGGCCTACTGTAATTTGCCATGCTCTGCTCTTATTCCATGGACCAGTTTTCACAGGCAGGAACTCAACAAGATAGCCATGTTAGTTAGCATACACAGAAAAGGAGGAGACAGGAAGCTCCCACTAAAATATGCCAGTTAATCTTAAAGGTCCTGCTAGATTCTATTTTTGCCCTCCCTCTTTCCCTCTTTATAGTCAGGAAATCCTTTTAGATTACCTAAAAATA